CTCCTTCACTTCCTTCTGGATGGACGGACGGACAGAGATAGATAGAAAGATAGATAGATAGATAGAATACTGTAGTATGGATCCCCAAAAGGGGCAACCATCACAGAATACTGTCCCTCAGTTTCAGCACCCCATTTTGGAAGCCCACTGGAACACACAGAACTGGAAGGGGAATGAAGACTGAATGATATCAGAGCTGGGATGGACCTTTGTAGGGCGTGGTGCCAGGCGTGATGAACAGCGGTACGTCCCATGGAGTCCTGCTGAGTAACCGCGAGCGGAAGGGAGACAAGAGTGATGATCTGGTTGTAACTGCATGTCACCTCATCATTGTGACATTACACACTGCTTACTGCAGCAGACCCGGTATGATAATCACCAGCTTCTACAAAATGTTCTTACAAAATCATAACTTGGTTATTGTTTCAAATATTAAAGTGTACAAGGAGACGTTTATGATTTATCACATCTCAGCATGATTCCTTGACGCTTCACTGAATTTCAATTTCAGTCTATAACCCCAAGCATGATCAAAGGAGTAGCTTCTGCAAGCCATCCAAATGAGGTTGGTCTTTTTGGTTTTGTTCTAGCCAAAAAAAAAAAGAAAAGGAAAAAAACACAACAAGGAAACAAGAGAGAAAACGTCAATCCACTGAGCAGGGACATCTACATGATCAGATGTACTGTATAGTGCTGGGTCTGTGCATGAACACAGTACATCCCCACCTCTATAAAAAGGACTTACCATATAGCCACCTAAAAAATGTCAGAATCGTGTATCAGTTAGAGGAGAAGTGTGTGTATTTGTGATTATATGCCATAACATTATATCCAACTATCCAAGAGCATAACTTTGGACTGAACATTAGTGGGGGGCGGGATTGAGGTCCCCACCCATTCATCATGACAATATGATTATTTGAGTGGGGGGTGTATTGGCCAGTTCAGATTATTTACACCAATGCACTGACCAAGACACCCCTACAGCACTGAGTGTGAAAACCCTCTTATCTCTTTGCCTGTTCAGTTTAACTCCAGCAATGCATTTTACAAGCTTCTTGACCATTATAATTAAAAACTTCAGTCATTTGAACCAATTTTTCTCTTGATCTGTTTTGATTTAAGCACACATCTGTTACCTAGTTTCTGAAAAAAGTGAAGCTGCAGCGGATTTCATCCACACTGTTTTTAAGAAGATCATGGCATCAGTGATGTAAATTCTAAGCTCCAACTTCTCCTCAGATCCTCTATGCAGTTTCACTTAAATCAGCTGTAGTTGCACCTTTAAAAAACGCATAACCTCTGCTAAACCTCTGCTTTCTATTTACAGTTCCACCTGCCCTAGATGAAGGCATCTGCTAAAAATGGTTGTTTTTAAAGGGTCTGTTAAGAAATGTCACTTACAACCCGCTTACCTCATCCAAAATGTTGTTTTTTTATTGAGAAAATATTACTAACACCTGAGAAAGACACGGCTTACATCAAGTGACCTGTAGTTGAGAGGCTATGCATGGTGCACGCTTTGTAAATTGCAAGAAAACGATCATGGGATGTAAATTAACAGACAATAAAAGACGCCAACGAGCACATATTACAACCAAAGGCTAAACAGCATCTATTTATAGACGAACCTGTCTTAATGTTTAAGGATCCACGGAAAAGTGACATGTGATACAAACATGTATACAAAAAAGTACAGAAGTATTATTTGGAGCGCGGAATACAGTTGGATAACATGCGAAATGACACCCCCCCCTCCCCCTAAAAAATCGTATGAGTAGACTGCTTGCATAAAACAGTTACCCTGGTCAGGATCCCTTATCTATGCCCGCCGATCCCCAATACACGTTTGCATTACCTGCTGAGAAGAACAGCTCCTTTGTACATGACCGAAAACGTGGGCATTGTGCACTGACTCCTTCGCATCCAGCCGCCGAAACGATCTGCCCATTCGCGCTGTGGGCGGCACATGATCCAATCCTGTGGTATTCAGCTGGGAACCGGCTATCCACCACAACTTTGCTGACAGATTAAAACAGATAGCCTATACAAGGCAATACAGATACGCAAGCTCTACTGTATTTATATAAAAATTAAATGTGCTGGGAAATTAATTTAAAAAATTAACTTAAAAAAATGAAAAGGTTGTAGGAATGAACATGCAAATGTGGATTGTACTGTACTGTGACAATATTTCGTTTAATTTTAATTCAAAGTAGATTATGCATATTACCATAAATGTTTTAAATTACCGGGCACTGACTTGAAGTCTTTAAATTTTTGTGCTATTGAATAATAAAATTGCCATGTCTTTAATTGCAGCAGTGCCGTCTTATCAGAACCCCTGAAGTAATGTTTCATAATAATAGGCTTGCATTGTGACTTTGAATACCCCAGGATCCATTGCTGTGAAATTCTACTCAATGAATGTGTAACAGAACATTTGATATTACGCTAAAGATTACAGTACCATCGCAAACTAAATTAATACAAAACACAAGAAAGAACAGTGTCAATGACAAAAAGGAGGCAGGTCTCAAACAGTCATAACCCAGCTAACAAGAGACGTCACCGTGACGTTTTTGGACGTCCGATTTTAGTCTGCCCGGTAACGTTTTATTCACAACGTTAGGCGGACGTCCGATTTTAGTCTGCCTGGTAACGTTTTATTCACAACGTTAGGCGGACGTCCGATTTTAGTCT